GACCACGGTTCATGACTATTGTCTACTGTGGACCACGGTTCATGACTGTGGTCCACTGTGGTCCGCTGTTCATGACTTTGGTCCACTGTGGACCACTGATCATGACTGTGGACCCATGTGGTCTGCTGTGACCCACTGTTCATCATTGTGGCCCACTGTGGTCCACTGTGGACCATTCCTCATCATTGTGGACCCTTGTGGTCTGCTGTGGACCCCCTTTGGACCATTTTGGAGAACTGTGGACCATTGCGGACCCCTGTGACTCAGATTTTCCTGAACACCACAGAGCTGACAGGAACTATAAAGTTCAGCCTCACTTCTGTTCAGCCCTGCAGTTCTGAGCTCGTGGAAACATTCTCAAACAATAAAAACAAGAAAACCAGAACCCCACCAAAATAATGGGCCTAGTGAGTCCAAACTGTTGTTAACTTAAAAACTTATAAAAGTGTATTCAGACACAGCCAGCAATAGTAAACTGGTCAACTCAGGCCTGGTGGAACCCCGAACCACCAGGAGGACAAATGAGGTCATCCTCGGTCAAACTGGGCAAAAGAAATAAAAACAGAGATGGACACGTTTAATTAAAGAAGCCCAAACAGAGAAAATGTAGAAGCCTCGATTTAATCAACCATTTCTCGAAGAACTTCAGATCTGCTTCAGATCTCTTGTGACATGTTCGCTCTTAAATAATATCATGGGGATGACCCTCAGCTACTGCTACAAAACATTAACCTCAACATCTGTAAAACTAAGTTATAGCCACCATCTTTAGTGTGACAGACTTCAAAAGCTATTTAGTTTTAGATGTTCACCAAATGATTACTTTCAGACAGTTTCATTCAAATCCATTCAGTTGTTCAGGAGATATTTTGCCAAAAAACAAACATACAGACTTGGAAAGAAATATTACTGGAGCTTCAGGTTTGAGTGACGGTCAAGAATCAGAATGAATATTTTCTGTGTAAACATCTTTGAGTCTCACAGATTGTGAGTCAAAGTGCTGACAAGTTCTTTCTTACGTTCATGTTTTATCGTTTTTATTTCAAATCTGCAGATTTTCTTCAGGGTTTCACTGAACTGAACCGGCAGCTGAACTGAAAACCAAACTATGTCACAGCCGTGTGACTGAACACTAGCCGGTCAGCCTCAACGCCGCCTGCTCTTGGCAGAGTCACCTGTGAGCGCTGCTGCTGCCTTTCATTCAAACGAGTCATATTTACACAAGGCTGCAGCCGCGGTCGAAGCGAGCACTTCAGCGGAAACGACGGCTGCCGCTTCAGAAATGTTAACCGACAAAAAAAAAATTGACCAACCCCGGGGCGTGGCTGTAGAGGAGAGGCGAGTCTATCAGTCATTGAGTTTTACTTACCCAGAGAAGTCGGTGGAAAGTAATCCGTAGTTAAAGATGAAGACTCGGCTCACGTGGCACGCTGTCAGGTAGCCCATAGCAGTCATCATGGAGTACCTGTGTGCGGGGGAGGAACACAGGTGAGGCAAATGATTACAGGTCCAGCTCAGAGATTAACCAGCTCTCGCTGCATCACTAGATGACTCATGAGCTCTTAATGTTGGGCTACACCGTGAAGACTTTGGAACAATTATTTTTTTCTGCTAATGTGATGAGTTACAAGAAATCCTTTTAAAACTATTGCGGTTTTTCCAGATAGTATTTTGTTTACATTTAAACAGACGCACACTCCTAGATTTCAAGTTCTGGGTTGTGAAAAATGGTTGAGATAATTTGTAATGCAAACTTTAATCCTAAACACCATAAATCCATCAGCCAGTGCAGAAATGACCTGCTTTATGCCGTTTTGGTTCATTATTTGTTCATATTACAAAAGCAAAGCATTGTCTTCAGGAAGTCTGTATATCTCTGCAGACTAGTTTGAATAGTGAGAAATGTGACTGTTTTCTTTGCATTTACTTAATAAAAAGTACAATCACTGATGTCCTTTAATATTCAGAAACTGCAAACAAACATAATGTTGGACGGAGGAGTTGCAACTTCACTAGTTGTGTTAGATCTTCCAGTCCACCGTTTAGCCTCGTCCTAAAACTTGCAGACACCATTATAACCATACAAAAACTGGGTGTGAGAAACACTTGTTTCACCACCAGAACTTCAAAACATGACATTATAACTTACAAAGATTCAGTAAGTCCACCCATCTCTGGCATGTTTATACATGCTGTTAGTGTGATTCATCTCACATTACAACTCTGATGTTGCTCTGGTTCTGCTGGCAGGTGATCAACACACAGGTGAACACAGCAGCTTCCTGTCACGCCTCATTCACGTACTTTCATTCATAAAAAAAAAAAAAAAGAAACTCCTCAGAAACCTTTCCTCGTTAAACAAACATGAAGACAAAGGTAACAAGCTCTACAAAGTTATTCTCATGCCCTTCATGTTCAGTTTAAAGCAAAAAATAAATAAATAGAGCCTTTGAACGTGAAGACAGAAACCAATGGGCTGACTTTATAGGTCAAACAGACTCGTCGGGCTGGATTATCAGGCTGCCTAACACCTGACATCCACAGGCTGCTGTCTCCGTGGACAACAAGCCCTTCAGCCCAGATGAGAACAAATAAAGGTGCTGAACCACACAGGTGTTAGAATTCAGAGAAAAGATTAAAGGTCTCACATTCCTTGAAGGAATGCTTATCACTCACTGCCTTTCATGCTTCAGAATAAAAAGGATCTTATCCTGAGAGAAGGGACAGAGCTGTAGGCAATTTGGTCAAACCTGGTAAATGACACTAATCTTGATTTCTCAGTGCATAGAGGACATGTTAAGAATGACTGTCTGCTACTACTAGACACAACTGAGCTCATTATCTGTACGATTTACCGAGTTACAGTCATTGTGTTTGCTAAGGCCAGTTGGCTGTGGTGTTTTAGATGAACCCTCAATCACTGCGTTCATTAAATTCCATCCAGAGGTTCATGAGATATTTTGTTAACAGACCAACTGAGTCTGATGGTGAAAGGAAGACTTCTCAGACATTCGTAATCCCACCAACACTTCTTCATCCATGGAAGATGTGTCAGGGGACTTAAGGGTTGGTCCGTCTATAACCGAGGCTGAGATCACAGAGATAGTTAAAAAGTGATGTGGTAGCGGGGCTGCAGGGGGAACGAGATCCAACCTGAGTTATTTAAGGCTCTATCAGGGGTGCCCAATACGTTGATTGCCAGTCCATCGCAAAAGGTAGTATGGGTAGCTTGCATGGCATAAAAATAATAATAATAATAAAAAAAACAGAGGTCATCCTCACTATGAAATTTGTCACTTGATTGACATACAGGGCAGCCAGTCTGAGACCCGACCTTTTCTGACACATGGGTCACCACGAATGCACATACAACTGCGCCAAAAACTAGCAAGCTACTGAGTTACCTAGTTAGCCTCTAATTTACTTCTTCTAAACTCAAGAAAGGGTATAAAATGAGTGGGCGAGCTGGACCAAGTAAGAAGCAAAAAACTTACAATTTCCATACGGAATGGGAAGAGGACTTTTTTTCTCTCCACAATGTCATATTTGAAGTGTGTTTGCCTCATTTGCCAGCCTACCATTGCCATTCCGAAGAAGGGAAATGTGGAACGGCATTTTTGGACTGTTCATAAAAACTACGACATGGACTTCCTTCCAAAAAGCGAGCCAAGAACAAAAAGTTGAAGGAACTAAAATCCCAGTTATCTGGACAGCAGTCATTTTTCTTACAGCTGACCACAAAAGCGAAGGCAGCTACCGAAGCATCATTCCAGGTGAGTCACTTAATTGTTAAGCACAAGAAGTCCTTCCAAGACAGAGAGATGGTAAAAGAGGCATTTGTGAAGCAGCTGACTTGTTGTTCCAAGACTTTAAAAACAAACCAGAAATATTATCGATCAAAGCTCTCCAGGTATCAAGAAGTACGGTTACATGGCGCTGTGAAGCCATGTCCGAGGATTTGACCCAGCAACACTGAAAGGATATTGCGGACTACGAGTGTTTCTCACTGCAATTGGATGAGTCTACAGATTTGAGTGACACAGCCCAATTGTGCATTTTTATTTGGATGATGTTTACCAATATCTGGAGAGGAGGATGAAATTTTGACATTACAAGCCGACATTCAGCTCAAGGCCTGGGCTCACGGACAGTTCTGGAACTTATTCACAGAGGAAAAGTACCATAACATAAGGAAAAGCATTACCTAATTTACTGCATTACTTGGCTCAACTTATTTATGTGAGTTAGCCTTTACCCACATGAAGATTATTAATTCCAAATACCATTCCACCATGTCTGATGATCATTTGGAAGTGTGCTTGAGGCAGGCTATCAGCAGCTACTGTCCAGACTGCATCCCTCGTTGATTCCATTCAGTGCAAGTCATCAGAGTAAAGTAATGACAAAAAATGTACAGTGCTGTATTGCACAGTATAGGTTCATGCAGTTATGCAAGGTACATCAACATATTGTATAAATAAAGAATACTTACTATGTTTATAAATAAGTATACGTTTTGTATTTTTACAGTAGGTAGATCACTTTGACTTGGTCATTTCATAAGTAGCTCGCATGCTGAAAACGTGTGTGCACCCGTGCTCTAGATGTTGTTGGGCTGTCTTGCTTGACATGCTTTTGCAACCTTGTGTGGACATAGGGGTATTGCCACTGAATTTGCAGACTGTGATGGTGGTTCCCTCTTCTAAAAGGGTGACCAGGGTGCACTCCAATTTTAGGGGCATCACTCTCCTCATCCTCCCTGGTAAAGTCTCTTCAGGGATACAGTAGAAGCGAGTCCTATCGATGGTGCTCAGATTCAGGAGGAACAATACGGGTTCCATCCTGGTCATGGAACACTAGACCGACTCTTTACTGGTCCTTGAGGGGGCATGAGAGTTTGTCCATCCAGTCTACATGTGTTTTGTGGACATGTTCATGGAGGTACACTGTGGGGGTGCTCTGTGAGTATTGTGGGTCTATTGCTATGGGCCATCCGGCCCCTATACAAGTGGTGTGAGAGTTTGGTTCACATTGCCTGCAGTCTTAGAGCACTCGAGTGAGAGTTGGGACTCTTCCTGGGCTGCCTGTTGTCACAGATTCTGTTCATAATTTTTATGGACAGAATTTCTCGATGCAGCCAGGGGGCAGAGGGAGTCCAATTTGTTGGCCTTAGGGTCCCATCTCTGTCATTTACAAATGATGTGGTGCTGTTGGCTGTTGCTGTGATCATCAGCTCTCACTGGAGAGGTTCACAGACAAGTGTGAAGCAGCTGGGATGAGGAACAGCATCTCCAGATCTGAGGCCATGGTCCTCAGTCAGAAAAGGGTGGATTGTTTTCTCCGGGTAGGGAGTGAGATTCTGCTTCAAGTGGAGGAGTTCAGGTATCTTGGGGTTTTGTTGACAATGAGGGAAGAATGGAATGGAAGATCTACAGACTGATCGGTGCAACATCTGCAGTATTGTGGACTCTGTGCTGGTCCATTGTGGTGAAGAGAAAGCTGAGCTGCAAGAAGAAGCTTTCCGTTTACCGGTTGGTCTACGTTCTTACCCTCACCTATGATCATGAACTCTGGGTAGTGACCGAAAAAAACAGATTGTGAATCCAGGCGGTCTAAATGGAGTTTTCTCTGCAGGGTAGCTGGACTTTACCGTAAAGATAAGGTGAGAAGTTCAGTTCTCCAGAAGAGACTCAGATGTGCTGCTCCTCCACATCCAATTGAGGTGGTTCAGACATCTAGAAAATATGCTTCCATAGCATCGGGCATTGGGCATGTCCAAGTGGGAGGAGCGAGCCTGGGAAGACCCAAGACACACTGCAAACACTGTCTCTAAGCCAGTCTGGGAACATCTTGGAGTCTTCCTAGAAAAGCTGGAAGAGGTGGCTGTGGAAAGAGATAACTGGACCTCCCTGATCAAGCTGCTGCCCCAGTGACCTGACTCCAGAACAAGCAGCCAGGTGGGCGGATGGACAAACAGAGTTGACTCCAATAGTTTCCTAAATAAAGCGATCAGTTAGTTTTCAAATTATGTGTTGGAGATGACTCTCTGCTACAGCAATTTTTAGCTCAATATCTGAAAACCTGGATGAGTTAAAACATTTGGTGCTTGCTAAAGGTCACAAAAACATTTATTAGTTATAGATGCATGTCCATTGATTACTTTCTGAGGTATTCATTAAAATCCATCCACTGATTTATGATGTAAAGTTCTGACGCTACAAACAAACACAGACAATGAAGGCATAATGTTTTTGCTCTCAGACATGAGAAAAACATGGTCATGTTTCACCTCTGGAAGAGCGTAATCACAGCCAACAGAAACTGAAACTGTTCAAAATAAAAACTAATCACTAATCACAGTCACTGGTATTGTGTAAACTGAGCCCTCGGCCCACTCCACTGAACACCCACCTCCCAGGGTGAGTCCAGATTCCTGTCAGACTAGACCAACTTGAAAACAACTTTTCCCTGGACTGAAACACAACACTTTGCTACAAGCATTTGTATCGGTCCTGTCACCCATCTGTCATTGTGATGACACAGATGGGTTGGCCCGCTCCAGGAGGAATGTTTGGTTACGTAACACAGCAGGAGAGGCGGAGACAAACACTCACCTGTGAACGTTATTGATGTCAGCCTTGATGATGATGAGGTAGTTTGCAGCCACCACAGTCAGGATATGAGCGGAGTACCTGCAGGGAAGGACACAAGCACACTGCTCACTGAGTCACTTGCTACATTAGGCTATTACACCGTGAACAAACATTCGTTGTGAATCAGTGAAAACACCTGAAACCTACTAAAAAAAGTATCATTATTGGATTTGTTTAACCCATACAGTGCTGTGTCAAACTCTTGTCATCCCTTTTTTCTTTGTAATCAGTTTCCAGTGAGTCAAACTGTCTTGTAACCTTAAAAAGTGGTCTGGATCAAATTTTCAGACTTTCTGAAGGACGTTCAAAGTTTTTCTTTGGACGATGGCTGCACTTTTATCCGGTTTCAGTCCAGTTCCATATTTAGAGGAAGGTTTCTATGTCGTTAAACCCCCCAGTGCCCTACAAGTCATGTAGATTTGAAGGAGCTCAACCATGAACCAGTTCTAAGAAATCCAAACAAAATAATAAAAACAACTGGACTTCTATTGTTCAGACCTCTATAGTGGATAAGCTAACCAACCTCTCCATAGACGCAAGGCTCAACACCAGAGAGCAGTTCTTCTAGGCCAGACTCAGTGGTCCACCTACACCTCAAAGATAAGGGGCACTCTGCTGAGGACCAACATGTCCAGATGTTGGACAGAAAAGACAGATAGTTTGAAAGGGGGGTGAAGGAAGTCATTTATGTCAAACAAGAAAACCCAGCTTCAAACAGCGGAGGAGGTCTCAGATTTCAACTTTCTAAAACCTACAATGGAAAATTACACCCTATATCCAGCTGGTTTCACTGATGTCATTATGCCATTGATAAGTGTGACTTGACTCTCGTCTTATTGGTTCTTCTCAGATGTAGGTGATTTGTCACTATGACCCGTTTAGCAGGATCATCAATGCAAATTGGGTAGGATCATAACTGGTCTTTTTGTGTTTGAGCCACTTTGCCCGTTGTGGTCCTTAATCGCCCTATAATCTGACTTGAATTTCATTAGCTTATTCTGCACTGCTTATAAAAGTTTGGGTGTAGCTATGCTGCGCCATCAACTCCAATGTCTTGTCAAATGCACTCAGCCTTTGTGGCGCTGCCGCTCAACATGACGAGTAAGCGGAGGTTCAGATGTAGTTAGCAGTTTTGCTGGGTGGGTCGTCCAGTGACGTAGCTCTGCTGGTCAATCAACAGCTGCTGTCTGCTTACATCAAAATCAGCCCCTTGGAGCAGCCCGCTTGGAACCTCGAACAAGATGGTCCCAAAACTGTGTTGAGTGGGGATGGGTACCAGCAGTGGGCAGACCCTTAACTGGTGCCGTGTCGTGCAAAGCACCATTAGATTCACACCTTCATGCAGGTGACCAAAACATCTCTCTGTGAGCCAGGCTAGGAGCCTAATGAGACTCAGGGAGGGGAGGGGGGTTAATCTGCATGTGAATGTAGTGAACATACTGGAGCATCTCAACCTGGAACTCCACACTCTGTAGTTTTCCCAGATGGGAGAAAAGTCTTCAACTACAGAACACAGGTCCAGATCATTTGGTCTTTACTGTTTTATTTACCACGCCCTTGATGACTAAGAATCTACACCAACAACTAGTTTTAAGTCAGATCTTTGGGAACTTTGTTACTAGCAGCCTGTTATGACAACAGTTTGTTTTGTATTTAGTTGAACCTATAAAAATACTAAAGATAATACAGACAAACCAGAATGTAGAATTTTAGCACCAACGAGGTGATTCTCAAAGACTATTGGTTGAAGACAGCGTTTAACAGATGAAGACTACAGGAAGAAATTAGCCCAAGATTAAATCTGGAGCAAAACATCAAATGTTTTTACATTATGTTATGTTAACACACTGTTCTGATTAAATAAAGTTACATTTAATTTAACTTTTAGATACTTTCCACCTGCTGCAGGTAATGTCTTAAAGCTTTACACTTATATATTTGTCATATTTCCTCATTTTAACACACACTTTACAATAAACTGTGGTGCCCAGGTACAAGAACAAAGGATAGGCAAATGAAAACACAGCGAAAGAAAAAGCACCTTCAGAAAACTGGAAGAACTGCTGATGAAGATCATTTTAAAAGGATCAGATGAAAGTCTGCCAGCTAGAAGGTTTAAAAATTCCTAATTTCCATCCATAGTCCTGCTTGTCACAAAGACACAAGTCGGCTACAAATGGTAATTAAATGCTGAATATTTTCCTCCATCACATGTTTGTAATAACATCTGGCTGAGAGCAGAACGCATGACTGCAGGGACAACAAGCAGAGAATGAATAAAGCACTGTTTGCTTCACGTCACACCGTACCATCCAAAGCAGAAGATGAGAAAAGCCATCCCCAGGAGCGTGGCGAATGCATGCCTGACCAGAGGGCTGGCATGGCTGGGACTGAGGTAGAGACGAAACCAGAAGGCAGCAGTCAGAGCCAGCAGCTGGCAGGCCAGGAAATTCACCTGAGTGGAACAAAAATAAACACGAGACAGGATGAGAGGTGTTAAACTGTTCTACCTAATCCAGATACAAACAAACACTCAGATTCTTATACAGGAAGTTACCAAAACACACAGCCTTGTTTCTTCATTCAGTCTATGAGCTGCCGCTGATAAATACCTCTATCATTAAAATGAGACATGTCAATAAATAGCTTTATCATTGAGTTGAGACATGTCTTACTAAATATCTATCAGGTGAGACATGTTTTAATAAATATCTTTCATTAAGGTGAGATATCTCTTAATATTTTTATCATTAAAATGAGACATGTCTTAATAAATATCTATCAAGATGAGAAATGTCTGAATAAATATATTTATCATTAAGATTAAACATGTCTTAATAAAAGGGGCAGCATGGTGGCACAACTGGTAGAACTGCTGCCTCTCAGCGAGAAGGTTGCTGGTTCAAATCCCGGTCCGGGGGGCCTTTCTGGGTGGAGTTTGCATATTCTCCCTGTGCATGCGTGGGCTTTCTCCGGGTGCTCCGGTTTCCTCCCACAGACCAAAAACATGCATGTTAGGCTGTTTGGTAACTCTAAATTGTCCCTAGGTGAGAGTGAATGGTTGTTTGTCTCGTTTGTCTCTGTGAGTCCCTGTGATGGACTTGCAACCTGTCCAGGGAGTATCCTGCCCCTTGCACAATGATTGCTGGACATGGGCACCAGTGACCCCCGTGACCCAAAATGGAAGCAGCGGGTAAAAAGATAAAGGATGGATGTCTTAATAAATATCTATCATTAAAATGAGATGTGTCTTAATAAATATATATCATTAAGATGAGAAATATCTTAATACATATCTTTATCATTAAGATGAGACATGTCTTAATAAATATACTTATCATTAAGATGAGGCATGTCTTATTAAAATATATTTATCATTAAGATGAGAGATGTCTTAATAAATATCTTCATCAATAAGATGAGACATGTCTTAATAAATATCTATCATTAATGTGAGACAAGTCTTATTAAATATCTTTATCATTAAGGTGAGAGATGACTAAATCTCTCTCATTACTGAGACATGTTCTGACCCTGTTTGGATGTTAGACAGCCTCTCTGTTTTGATGTGTTTACACAACACGTGTGTAGAGATGTTAAATAACTGTCAGTCTAGACGACCTGAAGGTTAATTAAAAGGTGTTTCAATCAGACGAGCCGTGTTTTGGGGAGGGCATGCAGTCCTACCTGGTCAATGGACAGGCCCGAGTACCTGCTGACAGGTAGCAGACACCTGGATCCGGTGGTTGAGTCCTCCGCGCGCTCGCTCATCCCGCCTGGTTTGTTCGGTGGAGACGGCCCGGTGCTTCCCGGTGTTTTCCTGCTCTGTTCGTGTGAGGAAACTGTGTTCAGTGACTGAAATGCATGTTGTCACCGGGAGGGCGTGAGACAGGCCGAACCAGTCCGGTTTATCAACCAGGAGCAGCCTCCTCCTCCTCTTAAGTTAAAAAGAAGAAAAAAAAACTTTTTCCGGTTACCTTTTACAAAATAAAAGCCTGCGGATGCGAGAGATGTTTTGAACTAAAAAGTATTTTATCTGTCGGCTGATATTACCTGAAAGAGGGGGGCATTGATAAGTTCTGACACTGTCTTTTATAGTACTGAAAATAAAATGGTTACACACATCTTCCAATGTATTTCAGACTGAATAAGAATAAAAAGTAAAAACCCCTAAAGTTCTCATTTGACCAAGGGACCTGTGCTCTGTAGGTCCTTCTTTTGCAGAAAATTAAATATAACATGTGAGATTCTCTAATATAAAGATTTATTTGAGTAGATTTTAATCTGTTTAATAAACTAACCTGTTGATATCCTGATGCATAATCCAGCTATAAATCTAACTAGGCTGAGTCAGGCCCATTGAACAGATTCTTCTTTGTTGAAACGTTTCGTCTTTTATCCAAAGTATAGGTTGTGCATGCAATCAACTTACTTCACATATGGGGGGCAATAGGCAGAAACATGGGTGTGCTATGGTTTCTCCTATTGTAGAAAAGATATTCTTGACATCCTTTTCAGGGACACCACTGAGTCATTGGTTCAGGTATGTTGATGACACCTGGGTTAAAATCAAATCTCAGGAAGTCCAACATTTCACTGATCACATCAACTAAGTGGATAAATATATAAAGTTCACATGAGAAAATGTGAAAGAGAAACGACCACCCACACAGACCAGTACTTGCGGTTTGACTCCCCTCATTCACTAGAGCACAAGTTAGGAGTCATCAGGACTCTGTACCACAGAGCAGACAGCGTCCCCACTAACTCAGGAGCCAGGCAGAAGGAGAAATCATACACAAGAGAGAATCTGGAGCAATGTGTACATCCTAACTGGGCCTCCCAGAAAGCAGAGAAGAAACCCAAACAGGACTCCAGCCAGCCATTGGGTGACAAGGAGAAACCCAGACCCAGATCAGTAGCCATTCCATATGTTGAGGGAGTTTAAGAGAAACTGAGAATTTTATTTTCAAAACACGATGTCCCAGTGGCTTCCAAATACCAAAATACATTACAGCAGACTGGTTCATCCCATAGATCCAGTCCCTCAGCACAAACAGAGTAATATTGTGTATGCTGTTCAGTGACAGGAGGGCTGTGATCAGTTATACAGTGGGAAAATGAGTAACTTAACAACTAAACAGCCACTGGCTAAAAGGATGGACCAGCACAGAAGAGCAACATCAGCAGGCCAGCTAGGACTCTGTAATCTGCAGGCCAGCAGTCACTCTTTCAGGGATGAAGATGTGCTCATCCTTGATAGAGAGGAACGATAGTTTGAGAGAGGAGTGAAGGAAGCAATCTTTCTGAAGAGAACCCGCCCATTGAGAAACAGGAAGCGGAGGCCTCCACGTTAAACTGTCACCATCTTACAATGCTGTTATTGCAAGCATCACTCAGACCTCTGTGAATAGCAAACGGTCATCAGGCCACTAACAATCAGTTAGTCTGATGGTCCTTTTGCATGTGAACAACTAGTTTTGGCTGTCACCAGCAAACTGGTTGATCCACTAGGTGCTATTCATAAGTCTGAGGTTTCTTGCTCCTCAGACTGAAGAAGTATTTTGGATAAAAGATGAAAATAAATTTCAACAATGAAGAATCTGTCCAGAGGACCTGACTCAACCTTTTAGATAATCTCTTGATAACGTATTTCTTGTTCTTAAGCTAACTTCTTCAGTTGTTGCTATAAAGTGACAGTTTCTCCTCACGTACAATGTTTCAGTCAAAACACTTTTTGTTAACAATAGGCAAAGGGATGACTTTCAGAAATGGCAGATTTTGTGCTATTTTTTTTTATTTCAAGAAATAATAATTCTTAACTGATAGTCTCCCAAAAGTGAAAACATGTCATTTGTAGTTGCTGTGTAAAAAGTTCCTGACAATTTCTGTCCAGCCTTGCCTGACCTGAATCTGACAACAAACCTGACACAACACCAGACAAAGTCTTGAGTCAGTTCTCATTTTTTCGTGTTTTGCTTCCAAGGAACCAAACTTTCTTGTTTTCTTCAAATATAGTTTTTCTGTCTGTATGGATGTCTTTTGTAAGAGAAAGGATTTTGAAAGAGTCTTGGAAAGAGGCCTTTTGGTAATTTTTACAAAAGGCCTCATCTGGTCATAAGAAACTTGTACGAAGCAAATCTGCCAAAAATGAACTTTATAATTAGCTACAAATGTAATTTTTCTTAAGTAAACACCAGATCTATCAAATAAGAATCTGACTGAGTGATCTTCAGAATTTTAATTTTATATTTCTATTTAAAGTCATTAATTGTCATTGTGCCATGATCTTCAGCTCTCACTGGAGAAGTTCACAGCCTAGAGTGAAGTGGCTGGGATGAGAATGAGCACCTCGAAATCTGAGGCCATGTTCCTTAGTCAGAAAAGGGTGGACTGCCGTCTCTGGAGGTGAGTTTCTGCTTCAAGTGGAGAAGTTCAACTATCTTGAGATTTTGTTTGCGAGTGAGGGAAGTGATGGAGCTGGAGCCTGACAGATGGATGAATGTAGCATCTACGGTATTGTGGACTCTGTGCTGGTCTGTTGTGGTGAAGTGTGAGCTGAGCTTCAAGGAGAAACTCTGTTTATCTATATTCCTACCCTCACATATGGTCATAAACTCTGGGTAGTGACTGAAAGAACCAGATCATGGTTCCAGGAGGTGAAAATTAGTTTTCTCTGCAGGGTAGTTAGACTCTCCCTTAGAGATAGGGTGAGAAGTTCAGTTCACCAGGACAGACTCAGAATAGAGCTGCTGCTCCTCCACATCCAGAGGAGCTAGTTGAGGTGATTCAGACATCTGGTAAAGATGAACGCTGGACACCTTCATAGGGAGGTGTTCTGGACATATCCGACTGGGAGGAGACCCCGGGGAAAACTCAGGGCACAGTGGAGAAACTTTATCTCTCAGCTGTCCTGGGAACACCTTGAAATCCTTCCAGAAGAGCTGGTGGCTGTGGAAAGACTGCCCTGCTCACACTGCTGCCCCCAAGACCTGATTACAGAACAAGAGGATGGATAGGAACAAACACTGAAACCCACTGTCCCTTCTCTGAACATGTCCAAACCATCTCAGTCTGGCCTCTAACTTTATCTCCCTGTTGTTCAATCTGTGCTGTACCTCTGATGATCTCATTCCTAATCTTATCCATTCTTTTCACTCCCAAGGAGAACCTCAACATCTTCATTTCAAACACTTCCAGTTCTTTCTCCTGTCTTTATTTACATTTCTGTCTCCAGACCATACAACGTAGCTGGTCTCGCCACTTTCTTGTAAACTTTTCCTTTGACCGTTGCTGCCACCCTTTGGTCACAAATCACTCCTGAAACTTTTCTCCATCCACTCCATCCTGCCTGGACTCTCTTTTTCACCTCTTTACCATATTCTTCATTTCCCTGGACAGTGGACCCTAAGTACTTGAAGTCCTCCATCATTGTGACCTCTGCTCCTTGTAGCCTCACTGTTCCCCCAGCCTGCCTCTCATTCACGCACATGTACTCTGTCTTACTGACTTTCATTCATCTTCTTTCAAGTGCATACCTCCACCTCTCCAGGTTTTCTTCTATCTGTTCCTTGTTCTCACCACAAACAATAATGCAATCTGCAAACATCATAGTCCACAGAGATTCCAACTTGATCTAATCTATTAGTCAGTCCATCACCAGAGCAAACAAGAACTGGGTCAGATCAGTGACATAATCCCACCTCTACCTTGAAGGTATCTGCCACTCCTACAGCACATCTCACTCATACATGTCCTGTACCAGTCTAACATACTTCTCTGTCACTCCAGATTTCCTCGTGCAATACCACACCTCCTCCCTCAGCACCCTGTTTCATGCTTTTCTAAATCCACAAAGACACAGTGGAGTTCTTTCTGACCTTCTCTGTACTTCTCCATCAGCATCCTCAAAGCAAAGATGACACCCGTGGTGCTCTTTCTTGGCATGAAACCATACTGCTGCTCACAAATAGTCACCTCTCATCTAAGTCTTGCTTCCACAACTCTCTCCCAGATCTTCATTGTGTGTCTCATCAACTTAAATCCTAAAACAGTAGTTGCTACAAACTCTGTACATTACCATTGTTCTTATAAATGAGCACCAGCACACTTCTTGTCCATTCCTCAGGCATTTTCTCACCCTGACTTAGGCCATTGAATGTTTGAGTCAAAAACTTCACTGCCATCTCTCCAAGACATTTTGAAACCTCTACTATCATCTATCATCCTCTTCAACCTTTTCTGAACTTCACCCTCACTAATCTTTCCCACTTCCTGGTCCACAATTTTTATGACTTCTACTTTTATTTCTCTTTGATTTTCTCAATTCATTCGCTCCTCAAAATATTCCTTTCATTTTCCTGTCACGATCTCCTCATTTGTTACAACATTACATTCCTATCTTTCACAAGCCTAACCTGCTTCACATCCTTTCCAGCCTGATCCTTCTGCCTTGCCAATTGGTACAAGTCCTTCTCGTCTCTTTAGTGTTTAGCCTCCCATACCATCATATGCCTTCTGCTTTGCCTTAGCTACTTTATCTACCTCCCGCTGGTCTGTGTTGCATCTCCTTATATTCCTGTCTACTCCCCCGTCCTCTCACTGTCATATTTCTTCTTGGCTAACCTCTTTCTCTGAATAGCTTCCTGCACTTCACTATTCCACCACCAGGTTTCATCCATCCATCTTTACCCGCTTCTTCCTTTTTGGGTCACGGGGGTCACTGGTGCCCATGTCCAGCTATCACTGTGCAAGAGGTGGGTCACACCCTGGAGAGGTGGCAAGTCCATCACAGGGACACATGCAGACAAACGAGACAAACAACCATTCTCTCTCTCACTCACACCTAAGGACAATTTAGAGTTACCAATCAGCCTAACATGCATGTTTTTAGTCTGTGGGAGGAAACCAGAGAACTCGGAGAAAATCCACACATGCACGGAGAGAACATGCAAATGCCCCACCAGGTTTCATTATCATCTTTTATCTGTCCAGATGACACACCAAGTACCTTCCTACCTGCCTCTTTACTGTTGCTGTAGCTCAGTGATCTGGAAGCTCTTTCTTACCACCCAGAGCCCGGTCCTCTCTGAAATCCTCACATTCTTCCTTCCTTAATAAAATGCTTGTTTTATTTATTACATTATTATTATTATTACTGGACGGCCAACCTGGCCTTCAGGCTGTATCTGTGCCAAGTGTGCACTGAGTCTTTTTATCCCGATGCATGCTCAATAATCCATCAGTCTTTTTGTTTTTAATCATACACTGTAAACACATGAACTCTTATTGTTCAGTTATTTAACTTTTAAAATATTTTGCACAACAAGAACTTAATTTTAAACATAGTTTTGATGAAAAAAGTTTAAATAAATACTAAATAAACAAAAAAGTTTTTAAACCGATTTTGCATGAGGCATGTAAAGCATTTAGACTTTTAGTTATGTCCCAAACTAAAATCAGCAGCCACGTTTTTAGAGGTGGGCACCTTTGCTTTGTTTTCTGTATTTTTACATGTTTGTTGTCTTGTCACCAACTAGCCTTCAATCAGTCATTTTATTAACAAAATAAAAATAAAACATTTGAACAGAACGAGTCTTATTTACGGTTCTCTTCGTTTCTCACAAAATTAGATCACTTCCGCCCCCCAACGGTCTCCTAAGGAATACGCAACGTGTGACGTCACCTGTTTACAACTGCCAATGAGCACGTGGCGAACTGATTCTCCATTCACCATTGGTTGATTTGAGACAGATATGGGCGGGGACTCGTGTGGGAAGGACCAATGGCGTGCGGCATGTAAATTCCGTTTGAAATTTCCCCGGGAAATCTGAGTTTCGCGCGAGGGCTGTTGAGCGCGTAAACCGTATCCCTCCATTCATCAGGCCGTTTCCTGAAGCCATTTCTCGACGGCAGAGACGAGAGTTGCGTTACTTTTAAATCCGTCGCATCTGCCTAAATGCACGTTCTCAAGGACAAATACGTTTTAAAAGTCGATCATTTAGACATTCATCTTCACTTTGGGCCGAATATTTTTAATACCACTGCGACGGATTAGCAGCTAATACGGGCTCGAAAGTTCCGAGAGAAGAAAGGGGTTAGCGGAGCACCAAGATGAGAAGAGGGATCTCCTCGGCTCCGGACAAAGTGATCTTGGCAGGCGTCGGCAGCTCCTCTCTGGACAGTAACATCATCCTCACAGCCCTGTCGGACCGCCTGAACCCGGGTCAGGCTAACACGACCTACATCCAGATTATAACCACCCCGCCGCCCTGCAACGTTACACAGACACCCAATGTGTGTGTGTCCGAGCCGCAGGTTAACAGCATTTACACAACTCCACAACAAGCTGCAGCCAACGGAACCGGACAACGACCCGCTGTGGGCAGACCTCCGGTAATAACCCGCACGGCTCGGTTCGGCATGTTTCAGCGCCTCTACAACGTTAGCTCGCTCAGTTAGCCGAGCTTGTTGTTCGGGAGCTAACGTTAGCTTGTTAGCAGAGCATTGCCGCCACTCTGGAGCTAAGTGAAGGTTCGGTTCGGTGTTTGTGTCCGCCAGAAACAGCAGGAGGACTTCAACTGAGTTGAATGTTTAAACTGATAAAAACATGCCGGCTAGCAGCCAGGTAAACTACTTCACCTGCTCCATGCCCGGATGGACGTTAGCCTCGGCCTAGTAGCTGCTTTATTTGGGCTTGGGTCTGTTCAGGTTCTGCAAAAGGTTCGGGGTTTAGCTCCAACAGGATGGAAATAACAAAACACGGGCCTCTACAGACCAACTGCTCCATCTCAGTTGGAAACTGCCTGACAGGTTCTGGTCCAACTTGGATGTAGCCTGAAAGTGTTTTGGCTCAAATCTGGGATTATGCACAGATTATTATGTGCTCTGGGTTCTGATGGACCTGTTTATGTCCTGGTTTCTGTTTCTAAAGGCAGCTGGCTAGAGACTACCTCAAGTCTGTGGCTTCAGAGCTGATTGTGCACATTTCCTGTAAAATCAACACGCAGCACAACCTCAGGTCTGGTTTTGGTCTGCACTCAGGGTTCAGGACTGGTACATGATCTGAACCGGTTTATATCTCGGGCTGAGGCCATGACCAGGAGGGGGTGAGAAGATCTGCATGCAGATGTAAAATGGCTGACACTTTGACTGTCAGAGGACCTTCTCATTTGTGTGTGTCTAAATAAAGTAATCAAAGTGTAATCTATAATGCATCAAAGTTTAGTCTGTAAAATATCAGTGTAGTTAAAACATTAAAGTTTGTCAGTACAACATCAAAGTGTACGTAGTTATTAAAACACCAAAGTGTAGTTATTAAAACATAAAAGTAGTTTATAAAAACGTTAACATGTAGTTTATACGTCATGAAAGCTTAAACAACGTCAAAGTGTAGTTTCAGATGGTTTCAGTGTTTTCTGGCTTCATTTGGAGTTTTTGTAAAAGATGCACAACAGATCCAAATGGTTTCTTAAAGACAAAAACACAGCACCGTCTACCGTTTTAATTTAGATCAGATGATCAGGGACATCCAAGACATAGGAGGACAAAGGGGTCCCCAGGGACAGAAGTGTATCCAAAACATAGTGGGACAGAGGGGTCCTTGAGGACAGGAGTGTATCTAAGATAGAGGGACGAAGGGGTCCTCGGGGACAGGAGTGTATCCAAGACGTA